CCCCACAGGTCTGTAAATTTAATGGCAGGGGAGCAGTGACAGCATTCTTTACCTTGGATTCAGCCTACAGCCTGAAGGTTGAGCACCACTGTTCTAGACCTTGCACAATATATAAAAAGCTCTGCAGTTTTCAGCAGACACCTTTGATTAGAGAATGAAACAGAAGGGTTAGAGACTGGTTTGTGGGAGTTTTATCTAGATCAATAAAGGGAGGTAACTGATAATAGGGTGCCTGTTCAAAATTCCTTCTAAGTCAGATGTGTGTGTAGTGGGATAATGGTGGCTGCTTGGAAGATACAAATTCAAAATTTGCTGAATAGATTATACTACTCGGGGCTAGCAGGGAAGGGTGTAAGACAGTGTATTATTTTAAGTATTTGACACATTCCTCTCTGGTAACAGTATTCTGCCAAGATTGAAATTTGTCATGCTAAAAATCTAATATGAAGTGAGTTAAAAAGTATTCTAAAATAAATCAATGTTATATTACTTTATCCCTTGAAGTAGCACGTACATTCCAAGTATGCTGCTACCCCCAAGTATGCTGCTTTGGGGGTCTCCATTTCCTGCTTAGTGTTCTCATCCATTTATTTTCACTATCTACCTGTGCATGTTTACAGGCAGTGATAGAACTCCTAGCGTATGGAGCTGACCCTAATCTGCCATTGAGCAAAGGCATAGGAAGTGCCCTTTGTGCAGCTGTCAGCACAACATATGAACAGAAGAGAACAGCAGCAAGTCGAATTTCTTTGGTAAGGAAACATATGTTGGGTTTTTTTTTTTTTTTAATGCCTTTTTTATCCAAGTAATTGTTTCACCAGATGTGTTGAATCCTGGTTCTTTTTAGTGGTTCAGCTGTTATTCAGTGATGCTTTTTTTCTTCCCCCTCTTGGTAACTCAGCTGTGTTCTCAGTCACAGTAAACAAGCTGCTTCTGTTTCTGGCTTGGTGTTCCTGCTGGGACAAGGAGCTATCAGAAAACTGGTTGACATGCTTTAACAACCATGATGTCAAATACCTAATGGAAATAGGGACAAGTTATGGTTAAAATGTGGTAGGTGTTTGTTGTTAACCCTAGTGTCCCATGACCTATGTGGATTTGGCACACCCGTCAGCCATGATTTGAAATGCAACATAATTTTCCCATCAGTTTGGAGTCTGGAGATCTTGCTAGGGGAAGAAGGGTAGCCCTACCTGGGTCCCATTTTTACCTGCTTTCCGCCCTCAGCAGAATTGTCAGCTTTGTCTGTTTTTGCAGCTGCTCCTCCAGGCCGGGATGCCTTGGAAAAACACATCACCATTGCTTATATGGGTAATAAGAGTTTTGCCTTAAGAAAACTCATGTGGAGATGTGAACATTCTTTAGGGGAACCTTTCACTTGTGGCTGTAATGTGGGGAAAGGTACACCCAGGTCTGTTCCTGCGCACAGCAGCATGTGCCTAAGTAGAGGCCAGGCTCTGATGCTCAATCCCTTTGCTCCACTGGTGACAGGAGGCTGTGATTTTATTGAACATTTTTGTTTTAGTGTTGCTGTCTGGAAATACTTTTTTTCTTTCTCAAGATTGACAGGCTGATTGGAGCTGGTGCAGATCCCCTGATGCCAGTTACTGTTGGTCAAGGGAAGAAGACTGCAGTAGGAACTGTAGTAGACTATGCCTACTATACATACTGCCAGGTACCTCTTACATCCCAAAACTTCTGTTTTAATATTAATGCTAGTGATGTTCTCCAGATCCACAAGTACAAACAACCTGCTTTTTCTAGTTCTGCAGCTATAGGTTCAGCAGGGGGTTAATGTGGAAAGAACCACCAACTTTCTGTTTTGTGTGTGAGGGATGGGAGGGCGGTCTTTCCATTTTTCCCTAAACTGTGAAGTACATAAGGCTGACAGATGTTTAAAAAGTCCTAGTTCTGGAAGAGAAAAATTGGTTACCCTATATATTAAATTTCCATTTATAAATGGTTTGCAAAATGTTAATAAATATTGCTAGCTGGTACAAGCATGAGCAGTATGTGTTTGTAGGAGATTGGAAGAATGTTAGAAGAAGGCATTATAAATGGGGATATGTATCCTACTGACAGGTGAACTCTATAAGAATCTATAACATTAGACTGTGTCAGCTTTAGCCTATCTTAGGGTAAGCAGAAGTAGTTTTTTGCTACTCTTTCTTTTTTAGTTTCCCAGTAAAATACTAAGAATTCAATTAATCTCTGTTCATTATTGATGCTGATTGTAAGTATGAAACAAAATGATGAACTTGAAAATAAAACACACAAACCTTTAAAGCTGTTGTTCACCAAGATTTTGGGCCCAGTAGTTTGAATCTGCAGTGAAATACACTTGTTGTGCTTTAACACAAAATTATGAGTCGCATCTTTTAGATGTCTATTTTTTTTCAATTGGCTTTCTACTAAAATTCAAGATCAATTAATTGAGGCTGGCCATTGTAAAATACAAATGTATATTTTAAGTTTAAGATTTGAAAAAAAAAACCAGTGTTCTCTATTTGTAGTAGCTATAGGCAGAATGAATAGAATCCTGAGATCCAAAAAGCTGCTTTTTGCACAGAGACTCCAGTGTGGCTTTTGAGCATATTTCAGGTGTTAGGAGAGGATCCTGTTTAACATTTTTATTACTGATCTTAAGACAGAAACTAGATATGACTTCATGACATTGGAAATTACTCTAAGCCTGGGAGGCCCTGGCAATACAGAAAAGATTAGATTATTATTTCAGAATGATTAAATAATCTTGTAGAATAAAGCGTTAGAAAGGAGAATAAGTTTAATAGTTTGAAGTGCAGTCATGCACTTTGGGATCAATAGCAATGATTTTGGCTATGGGGTGCAGGTGCGGAGACTAGAAACAACTGAGGAAGTTTTAGCATGTTTTAGTTTTAGCTGATTTGTAGGATGAATGAGCTGTGGCTAATGCAGTTCCAAAGTGTGTTAGGCAAGGTAGACTCAGTAGATATAAGGGAGTAATCTTAGCACTGTAGAAGATATTGGTCAAATTTAGCATACTATATGAAGTTCTTATCTCCAGCATTCAGGGACAACAAACTTAAATTGGAATAGGTACAAAGAAAGGCCACTAAAATGGTTGAGGGAATGGGGACCTTTTCTTACAGGGGAAAATGAAAGGATCTTGACTTGTTTAGCTTAACAAAATGGAGGTTGAGA